GAAAGAAGGTATGGGTTCCCTTATCTCTCCACATGAGGCACATCAACCTGCAAACAGACTGTCTGTTTCTTAGGGATTCCTTCATCATTCTGTGCATTCCTTTGTGTTCTCCATAGCTGGGGGAGTGAGGGGAAGAAGTTCTAATATAACAGGGCTCTTGCCGAAGAGCTTTAAAATGGGTGCTGGCAGCTGGCATGTGGGGGAAGAGAGCTTTCCAGGGATAAGTGACCTTCTCATTCAGCCAATGAGAGCAGGGTAGAGGAATGATATCACCAGACAGGCTTTACTGTCTGACCATCTCATAAAAGCAGGATTGTGTCTGGCAACTTAACCCCTTTTTAGATACTCCGGGTCTCATCCATTCCTTTGGTATGTGACCCCCCAGATTCCTTTTCCCAGCTGTCTGTTGTGAGACCACAGAGATTAAAGATTTAAATTAGTGTAGCAACTAGGATTGTGAAAGAATATTATATTTAAAATTCTTTAAAATAAGAATTTTATTTCAAAAAGACTTTTTATCAGATCTCCGTGATTCACAAAGTTATTCATAGTTGAGTTTCAGGTAGGCAGTGTTCCAACACCAATCCCATCAATAGTGTCAACTTCCCTTCACCAGTGTTCCCAGTTTTCCTCCTGCCCCTAGCTGCCCCCCTGACAGGCACATTTTTTAGTTTGGCTGTTGTAGTTTGGACCTCAGTTTTGTTGGTTCTGTGGTTCAGATATACAGACATAACACTCAGATATACTGCTAATGAATCGGAGGCCCCTGCCCCTGCTATATTTCAAGTAGATAGCAGTCTCATTTATAGTACATCAGACTTTCATTTTACAGGTTTGGGGAATCAAAAGAGGTTCAAGGAAAAAGAAAAGATGTGTTATTTTCAAATATGTCTGATATGGGGGTCTTGCTAAATATTTCATGTTGGAAAATATTGAAAGAGGAAGGTTCATGCAAATTTAGAAAATGTAACCAATTCTGAAGTCAATATCTGATAAGCGGCATTTGCATTTGGTAGGCTGTTATGCTCATTACTATACCACCAACCAAAACGAGTTAAGAGATTATTTATAGTGTTTTTTTCCTAATGCACTATTTTTTTTTCCAGTTTTTGGTCCATATTCAGTGATATAGGACAGTAACAGTATACATCTTTTTTTTTTAATGTAGTAGTACTGCTGTTTATTCAGCCACTGATTAAACTAACTGAAGCAGGCATGAACTTCACATTACTTATTTTTTTAAATTTTAAATTTTATCTTCATAAAGTTGCGATAGCACAGTGGTAGGGCATTTACCTTGCACACAGCCAGCCCGGCCGAGCTGGGTTCGATTCCTCCGCCCCTCTTGGAGAGCCTGGCAACCTACCGAGAGTATCTCTCCCGCACGGGCAAAGCCTGGCAAGCTCCCCATGATGTATTCAGTATGCCAAACACAGTAACAACAAGTCTCAAAATGGAGACGTTACTGGGCCCACTTGAGCAAATCAATGAATAACGGGAGGATAATGTTTGTTTGCTTATTTGTAAAGTTGTTCACAATAATTGTTTACATTCAGCATTTCAACACCAACCCCACCACCATTACACTTTTCCACTATCATTATTTTGAATTTTCCCACCACTACCCAGGCCTGCCCCATAGACAGATTCTAAATAATTTATTTTGAATTGCATATTATGAATAGTATGAGATGTCATGCAGCTGCAAAAGCAACTCTGTGTTCCTGGAATTCTAAATTTTTTTTTAAATATTTGGGGTCTGGAGGCATCTCTGTGGCATGCTGCTCTCTTCTGAGATTCCATTGTGATCTCTGAATCACGGTTGTTAAAGAGCTTAAGTGGTCTGGTTTTGATCTCTTTCGAGATTTACTTATGGGTCTCTGAAGCAAGGCCAATAAGTGAGTTTGTATTGTTTAGCCGGAGGTGGTTTGTAGGCATGACTCCCACATACTTAACTTTTGGCCATTTAATTTCTCGGGAAATTTGGTTCCAAGTTGTTGGGGTCCAGCCAGAGGCACAGCAGCAATTTTGGGGTATCAGGAAGCCTGAGAGGACCATCACGATGCTGATGCACTCGCCCCGCATGTACAAGGTTGACCTCCTGGGTGGTACTGTACCTCCTACATGCCTTGTATGTCTCTTTTTCCCATGTTCTATGCTCTCTTTTAAGAAATTTGGCATTGCTTAGCTCATTTAATCTTAGTACAGGCCTGTTATGTAGATGCTATTATTGGTTGATATTACAGTTAAAGAAATTGGTGCAGAGTGGCTAAGTGGCTAACCAAAGATCACACAGCTTGTGGTAGAGTTGTGACTTGAATTCAAGCAGTGTGACTCTCTAGTTAATACTGTAAGTCTGTGTTGATCTGTATAGTAATGAACGAATAGATGACATTAGAGCACTTGAAATATGGTTAGTCCAAATTAAATTTGAGTAAGTGTAAAATTTCACTAGCTTTCAAAGGTCTAAAGTGAAAAAAATATATTTATAGTACCTCATGTTGAAATTTCAAGTTATAGTAATATTTTTGGGCTGGAGTGATAGCACAGTGGGTAGGGCGTTTCCCTTGCACGCGGCCGACATGGCTGACCCGATTTCGATTCCTCTGCCCCTCTCAAGAGCCTGGCAAGCTACCTAGAGTATCTTACCTGCACGGCAAAGCCTGGCAAGCTACCCATGACGTACTTGATACGCCAGACACAGTAACAAGTCTCACAATGTTACTGGGCCTGCTTGAGCAAATCAGTGAACAAAGGGAGGACAGTGACAGTGACAGTAATATTTTATAATATCAAGCAAAATATATCAGTCAATTTCACCATTTTGCAGCTAGGAAACTTAAAATGAATGACATGAGACTTGTATATGTGATTCTCATTGCATTTCGGTTAGTTATACAAATATAAATTATTGCAATGCCATAACCGAAACAACAATAGTAATAGGCGACATTATTAGGGCTTAGTACGTGCTGCATAATGTGCAAGTGCTATTTTACTTAAACTCAAAATAACCATTTTATTATCCCCATTTTATAGAAGAAGAATATTTTGAGAAATTCAGAAATTTGACTGAGTTTAGTCACTACTTAATGACAGACTCCACATTTGAAGCTTGTATGTCTAACTCAAAACTGTACTCAAATTCAGTAAGCTATAATATCATTTTCTTTTTAAATTTTTTAAATTTATAAAGTAGTTAACAATATTTGATTACATTTAATATGCACACACAAATCCCACCACCATTGCACCTTCCCACCACCATAATTCGGATGTTTCCATCCCAAACCCCAATCCCTGCCCCAAAGCAGAACCAAAATAATATATTTTGTATTGTTTGTTATGAAAATATTCTGAGAATGCTAGCAAAAAGTATCCTTAGAGGAAAGAGTGTGAGGATTGTTGTATTTCACCCAGGCATCATTAAGCCCTTCTATAGGACATCACTAACATGATATTAAAGGTTGAGCCTAGTGTGTTTTTTATATGTACATTTGTAAAAAAAAATGTATACTTCTCTCTAAGATTGATTGCCTCCTATTTTGAACCCTGTCAAATGTGGTGCAGTAATCCTGGAGTATGGGTAGAGTATTTGGTATGAAGTATCATGTGGCCAGTCCAGGGATAGATGCATTTGTGGGTGAGACTCAGCCCGAACATATGGAGAGCGGCCATGAGTGTGGTGGCAGCTAAGTAGTGGAAGTTTTCAACTTCCAGGGCTGGGTCCCTTCGGGTGGGGTGGGGTCTCATCCGCCCCCCTCCAGGGTGCCCCAAGTGAAACAGCCTGGCGCAGGGTCTAGAGGTAGGGTTATGGAGAGCATCATGTTGCTCCCTTTCGGGAGAAAAGAACATACAATCTGGATGGTGGCCGATGATGTGATTATTTTGCACCAGCCAGAGGTGACTTAAGAGCATGACTGCTGAGTTGCCCGAGATAGGGGATTGTGGGCAGGGGATTTCCATACCTGGTCCCGTTGAGCCCAGTGTTCTCAGTCACAAGATCCTGCATACCTGGGTTTTCTGGGGATTCACTCATGGATGAGATTCGGCTCAAGTGTGTGGAGAGCAGCCGTGAGTGTGGTGGTGGTTGAGTTGTGGAAGTCTTCAACTACTGGGGCTGAGTCCGTGTAATATCATTTTCAATTTAATCTTAGGGTCACGGTCATGGTCCTCCCGTTGTTCATCAATTTGCTCGAGCAGGCCCAGTAACGCCTACATCGTGAGACTTGTTGTTACTGTGTTTGGTATATTGAATACATCACGGGTAGCTTGCCAGGCTCTGCCTGGCAGGCGAGATACTCTCGGTAGCTTGCCGGGCTCTCCGAGAGGGGAGAAGGAATCGAACTCGGGTCGGCCATATTGGCTGCGTGCAAGGCAAACACCCTACCGCTGTGCTATCGCTCATTGTCTCAATTTTTGTCTTCAGAAGAATAGTTAATATTAAATACTTTAAAAAGTAAAATAGTTTTATTTAAGGAATATGGGGAGGAGAGAAAATAATGAATTCACAAAAACACAGGCCTCTGTAGATCCGAGAAAGCCAGGGTACCCCATAAAGTGAAAAAAAGGAATTTTACATCCCAGGTTGAGATATGGGTGACCCCAGAATGGGGTTGCTAATATTGCCATTCTTCTGTATTTGTTTGGTAAAGGTTCAAAATAAAAATCACGAGGACATGAAGTAAACATTCCAGATATAAAACTCTCACAGTTTCTGGCCTCAGTGAATGCTGGCAGTGGAGCTCTGATATGAAACAGAAAGTGACCCTGGACAAATCGCATTTAATTTTCATTGGAGTAGTTCTCCCAGGTCATTGTGCATTTTATATCCTGACCTTCTTTATCCATAGAAAAGAGGAAGTGGGCCAACACAGTTCTTTGGTTGGTAAGAACAAAGAAAAATCATTTTCTATTTCATTGTGACACATCAAATGCTATTTGTGTTTGAGAGAGCAACAAAATGCTATCTAGTGACCCCTAACTTTTCTTTCTTCTAGAGCAAAGATTCAGGCAAACTGAAAGCAGCTATGATAGAATTGGTCGAAAGATTGAAGTACAAGAGCTCAGACCCCAAAGTGAGTATGTTTTGGAATTGATTTGGTTTAGGTTCCTCAAGTACTTCTTTCTCCTTGAGCTACATTCGTGGGATGGTAATGATAAGCATTGTGAATACTGCATCAAGATCTAATAAAGCCTGTTCATCAAAAGCTGGGCTGGAGAGATAGCACAGTGGTAGGGCATTTGCCTTGCATGTGGCCGGCCAGGCTGACCTGGGTTTGATTCCTCCACCCTTCTCGGAGAGCTCTGCAACCTACCGAGAGTATCTCGCCTGCACAGAAAAGCCTGGCAAGCTACCCGTGACGTATTTGATATGACAAACACAGTAACAACAAGTCTCACAATGGAGACATTACTAGACCTGCTTGAGCAAATCGATGAACAACAGGAGGACAGTGCAGTGCATCAAAAGCAATCTTTTTATATGCCTAGAGATAAGTAATTTTCTCCTCTATTTTATCTCTGACAACACACACTCATTAATTGTTTTCCATGAACTGCAGACAAGTACATTTTTAGTCTTGCATTTGCCCACTAAATCCAGCCAAAGCACCTCTCTGAGATACCATTTTAATGCTGGGGATTGGAGCAGGCTCCACATCCATCCAGTTGGTATTCAGCAGTAGCATCTTATCATTCCCCCAACTCCCCTACTTAAAGGACCCACCTGCTATGAATGCTTTTGTCTTCATAACTTCCGGCGTCTAGTCTGGGAATTTGTATAAGTTTTTAAGTTATTTTATATTCCCCAGGATGCTGGAGGATTGTAGTATAGATATTTTGGAAGACAGCATGCCAGGATAAGGTGGACTAGGGACTAAGCATCTATAAAAACAATTTTGTATTGACACAATTTTTGTTTTTTAACCTCTACACTGTGGCCTTACCTAGTACCGGTGCCACCAGACAAACCTCAATGCCAAATTCTCTCACAATTGAATAGGTAAAAGAGCATGCTTTTTGACTTTGTATATTTTTGAAAAACAATTTTAAGTTATTTATAAGTATAATTTTTTTCAAGTTACATTTTAGGACTTGTATTTCTTGAATATCATCTGAAAAGCCAGGCAATGAACTAGGATACTTTTTTTTTGAGAAGTCAAGAACTTATTTTATTTTAATATAAACATTGAAATCCACCCCCTCCCCACCACCCTACAAAACTTGAATATGGAATTGAACTAGGATACTTAACAAGTATTTTTTTTAAACCTCTGAAATAAATATACATAATGACATTTACCATTTTAAGTGTGCAGTTCAGTGGCATTAAGTGCATTTACGTTATTAGGCAGCCATCACCACTTCCAGAATTTTTTTTAAATTCCCAGAACTGAAACTCTGTACAAATTAAATAGTATTTCCTCTCCCTTTCTTCTTACTTGAGATTACTGTTTGAGCAATCTTTGAGCTTTCTCAAATGGAGGATTCCCATTTATAGGTAAGGGCACAGAGACTCGGAATGGGGTGGGGAGCTTTTGCTACAAATCTAGCATACTATACTTAGACTAACTGTAGTGACTGTGCCCTTTCATGGTGCAGACCAACACTGGGTTTCAGCTCCTTTCCTTTCTAGTAGGCAATCAAATTGTCCCTTTGTTTTCTAATATTAAGCACTATATGAAGCAGAACCATAATGACAGGTCCTTCAGAGTGTGGCTGCAGCCACCAGTCTGCAAAACATTTCTTTATCTGCTATAACATTGAAAGTATTGGAGCAGTGGTAATAGCTCTTGTCTTCTGCTAGAGTTACAAAGATAGAGTGGAAAAAAGGGTGGACATGGCTATACTGAAAGAGACCATTCAGTATTGGTTTCTGAGACAACAGCTATACTGAAAGAGACATTCAGTATTTTCTGTTTGTCACACCCACATGCTTGTAGGCAGTGAAGAGGGAGAGGATGTGTACAAATTGCAGAGTGAATTATGTGTACAATGATAAAATAAGTGCTTTGGCATCCTTTGTGAATGCATATAGGGAGTCAGATGAGAGACTTGTTCAGGATTTCTCCAAAGATAAAGGATATTTACTAGGAACTGATGATCTAGGATGATCTAAGATATGTGAACACATTCTCACTTATCTTTTATCTTTACCATGTCCTAAATTCTTTCGCACCAATCCATTTTATTTTCAAGCTCCTTTTTGGTGTATCATATGTATGTTATCTATACCTAAATAGCTGGGAGAAGAACCAATGTAAATGCAAAATAACTGCCCACTCACAAAGGGTCAGGGTGGGGAGGTGGGGAGTGGTGTGCAAACTCATCACCTAAATACATATTTTTTTTGCACCAAACAAAATTTTCCTAGAAATAAATCGGTGTCTTTCAAGAGAGCCATTAAGTTTATTCTGTACTGTTTTCCTTCAGACCCGCATCCCTGCCCTCCTGCCCCCCCTTTCTCTCAAACACACACACACACACACACACACACACACATTGCCATTCCTTCTATAAGTCAGTCTGTTTTAGAAGGGCAGGCTCTGAGATTTCATGACCTGTCACTTCCTGGCAGAGCAACTTTATTTAGAAGCACTGATTGAGTCATGGAGCGCTGAGCACTATCTCTGCCTCACTTCCTCTAGAATTCCCTGGAGTATCACAAAGCTTGATCAGTCTAGACATTGGAGTCTATGTGAACTGAGTTAATTTTTTACCTCTCAGTATTGCCAGAGAGGAGTAGAAGACATTGAGATTAACCATTTTGTAAAATTTATAATATGCTGTTAAGACATAAGAAACACAGATATTACAGATATCCATAAAGGAAAAGGAATTTCCACTAAAATGTTTCCCCTGAAACCTCAAACTGTTAAGCTTGATGTGTAAACTTCTAGACATTTTTCCCATGTGGAAATGCTTGTAATATTTTTTTACAACAGTTATACTATACCTTTGGTTTTATCTCGCAGAATACACCACTTTTTTTTCTGTCATAATATAGACTTAATTCTTCTTAATGAGATGACTCATTTGGTCTGAAGTATTTAACAGACATCCTCTTTTCTTTCAGACTAGTGGTTCTCTTTTTTTAAATTGAATCACTGTGAGATACAGTTACAAAGCTTTCATGTTTGAGTTTCAGTCATACAATGATCAAACACCCATCTCTCCACCAGTGCTCATTTTCCACCACCAATGTCCCTAGTATTCTCATCCCGCATCAAATCTCCCCCCATGCCTCTATGGCAGAAAAATTTCCCCATACTCTCTACTTTTGGGAATTATGATTTGCAATACAGATTCTGAGAGGCTATCACTTTTTGTCCTTTATCTACTTTCAGCACACATCTCCCATCCCAAATGATCCCTCCAGCCATCCTTGACTTAGTGATCCCTTCTCTATTCCAGCTGCCTTCTTCCCCAGCTCATGAGGCAGTCTTCTAACCATGGATCAGTATTCCTGACCCAATGTCTACTGTCCTTGGGTGTCTGTCTCATGTTACTTTATATTCCACAAATGAGTACAGTCCTTCTATGTCTGTCCCTCTCTTTCTGACTCATTTCACTTAGCATGATATCCTCCATGACCATGCACTTACAAGCAAATTCCATGACTTCATCTTTCCTGACAGCTGCATAGTATTCTATTGTATAGATGTACCAAAATTTCTTTAACCAGTCATCTGTTCTCGGAAACTCAAGTTGTTTCCATATTCTGGCTATTGTGAACAGTGCTGTAGTGAACATACAGGTGCCGATGTCATTTCTACCTTGCTTTTTTGCATCCTCAGGATATATTCCCAGAAGTGGTATTGTTGGGTCATATGGACGATCTAGTTTTTTAAGGAACGTCCATATTGTCTTCCAAAAAGGCTGGACCAGTCAGCACTCCTACCAACAATGAAAGAGAGTTCCTTCCTACCCACATCTGCGCTAGCACTGGTTGTTCTTTTTTTTTTTTTTTAACTTTCAAGCTTTAAATTACATGAGAAACCTGCAAAACATTAAAATACAGAGTGCTGGTGTACTCCAGAGTTTATGGTTTAGTGGATCTGGGGTGACTAGAAGCTGTGCTAGATCTTGGCTATTTTTCCTTCTAATTTTTTAAAATTCCTTTCAACAAATAGTCATAAAAGTTCTGATAAATAGGTTCATATAATTCAAATTAAAATGATTACATAAAAATACAGGCTTAGAAAATAAACAGGTAGAGCTGAGGTCGTGAAGGAGGTAGACTGAGCTCCTTATTAGCTTGGTTCATTTATACCATCATATCCTACAGAAAAAGAGTGAAGCCAAAAAGAGGGAAGGAGTACTAGTCAGGGTTTAGGAAGATAGTCAAAATCCATGCTGTGGTCTAGGAGTGGACAGAGTCCTAAAACCAAAGGAACAATAGGTGATATTAAATGCCAGTCACTAGTGGTAAGCTTGAGGACAGAAATCAGTGGCAGTGAGACTTGGTAACTAAGGTACAGTACCAGAGGAAGTAGTGTGTGTGCTTGTCACTCTGGTTTGAGCCTTGTTTTAAAAGCTATAAATGAAAAGATCTAGAACCCGGTATACAGTGGAAAGTGATTTTTAAATTTTTATTTTTGTGTGTGTGTATGGTGGGGGGGGGTGTTGTTTGGACCATACCCAGCTGTGCTCAGGGATTACTCCTGGTGGAGCTTAGGGGACCCTATAGAGGTGCTGGGGAATTGAACCCTTGTTGGCTGTGTGCAAGGGAAGTGCCTCACCCACTGTACCCAAGACATTGTTCTGAATAACAATATTTTGTTTGTATAACTGGAAGAAATGTTTGGGAAGTTTGGGAAGGGTAGAATTCCCATAGCAGTGCTCGGAGGGTTCTGGGGTCACTTCTAGAAGTACTTGGCTCACCAATCTGACAACTTAATGCTAAGGCTGAGGATGCAGAATTCCTTAAGCTCTATGATTCCAAGTACTATTATGGCTACCCTGGCAGTGCTAGGTACTCCCGGGCTATACCCAGTGGTACTTGGGGCTATCCTCCCAGTGAAAGCATTCAGATTTGGGTCCTTGCAGTTGTAAAGCATTTGCCCTTTGCCACTGA